TTTTAAATTAAAAAATGATACAAGTCTTGTTTTCATTTACACATGCTATTCCACATGTTGATGAGAGCACAACCTTCTTGCCTTATCTACTGGCATAATTCTAGGCAAATATAATGACTACGTAAATGCAGGACTCCAATCCATAGCCACTTAGACCCGCATAAATTCAACATACAAAGCAAACAACTCTGGTTACATAAATGCACTGGGCCTATTAAGTACAGGTCTTCACCAACAGAAAGTTAGCCCAGTGACTAGACAGGTGTCATGGTACAAAATATCCAGAGTGCACTAAAACATGCAAAATACAATGACTTTGACAAATGACTCATATACAAATGAGGAAGGAGTTGGCAAGTTACCTAAATTCTCTCTTAAATTGACAAAAGAGTTTAAAAAAATAAAATTAAAAAACAGCTAAGTGTGCATGTGGTATCACATTTCAAGGGCTAATTGCGGCAAATAACTTTCTACAAAATTAAGTAACAACATTTTAAAAATTGCAATTGGCAGGTACAGATCAAAATTAATTTAAGCCATCGGGATTCTAGTTTACAATGGCATTAAAATTTTCAAAATGAAACAAGATACTATGATGATCGCCCAGATCCATCACAAGAATCAGATCCTGAACCTGAGCTGGAACCCGATCGAGATTCAGATCTATATCGACTCCTAGATGATCTTCTAGATTCACACCGTTCTACAGAACCTGGAAGGTGAAAAGAACAGAAATTTTAGAGGGGTTTCATGACTTTTCACTTGATGGTTAATAGTTACCTATATTGTACATTAACACTTACTTGACAATGGTGTATGCAGCTCAAGTTTTACTTTAGTTGTAGCTGTAACTTTAGTAGTATAACTGTTGGTCTGACCTGGAGCTGGACTCGACCTTGCAGATGAAGTTGTTTCACTTCCACTTCCACCCTGTGTACACAAAAGAAAACAATTATCTCTGTCCATCACATGTACTTGAAAATAATTCTTTACTACATCTAATGAACTTACATTTCCATTGTTGTGTGTAGTGGTGGTGGTTGTTTCAAGAACAAGCTCAGGCTGCACCACAATTGTCTCATGTGTCGAGTGACAGGAACCTGGTTCCTCTGTTATAGTTGTCAGTGAGGGTTCAGCATGTATCTTAGCACATGCCTCTCGACTTCGACTTCGTCTCGAGGAATGAGAAGGAGGTGCCTTACCAACCCGACATGATCCTGCACGAACTTGAACAGGTGAAGGTTCAGGTGATGGTGTTGAAATTCTATCTGGGAATTCATATGGTACAACTTCTGCCGATGGCCCAATGAGGGATAATAATATTGGAAAGAAGACTAGACCGTTAATCAAACCTACGGCGATGAGTGCTAAAAGCACATAAAAGAAATATCTGCAAAAGGAACAGAAAATTAGTAAGAGTAGGTACTAATCTACTTCATACAGTGTCATAGGAGTTGTGATGTACCCTTACCTTACAATGAAGTCAAACTCTGAGAAGGCCAACATTAGCACTGCTAAGAGTGTTGTAAAGGCTCCATGAACAACTGGAGCAAACATTTGTTCAATGGCAAGTCTTGTGCGTCTATCACGGCCTCCAATGCTTGTTACAAAGCCCAAGCAAATGTGAACAGTGAAATGTACACCTATGCCAACTGCTACGATGAGTAGCACACCAGGTACTGCACTCAGCTTGACCCCTAATATTCCCATCAAGCCAAGAAGTTGCAGTACCATACCACCCAGTGTGATGACAACCAACAAAGCTGCCCACAGATTGAGCAGAAGGATGGAGAGAACCACAAAAACAGCTCCAAGGGCACTTGCTAGCGCAAGTCCCAGAGCCCATCGAAGACCAACATACTGTTCCCAAAACAGGAATGGTATACCTGAAGGGAAGTTTGGAAGGCCTCTTTCCTCAAATCTCTCACACAGAGTTCTAGCTTGTCCAATTAACTTAGTTATACTCTCAGTGTCACCAAGTCCATGTAAATAGAATGGCATTTGTGCGTATATCAAGGGAGCTGACTTTGGAATTTTCAGTTCATAGTCGTCAGCTGCATGAAACCATTGCCTTGGCTCTGGCCTTAAATTAGCCTGACTTGCACCATAAGCAAGAGCATCATTTGATGCCCATGCACTGAGGTAGTTGTAGAAAGCCTTGGCATTTATCATGCCATCAGCATCAACCAGCCTCACTTGAGTCACCAAGCTCTTGTCAATCGGGTTGTCAACATGGCCTGTCTGAACCAGTAGTTTGTAAGCCAAGATGCCTTCATCAGAAGCATTTGAGAACCACCTTTCCTGGGTGATGCTCCCTCGAGCCCAATCTCTATCGAAAGCTTTTTGAAGACCTGCAAAACAAATATGGTTTAGAATCCCCTTCTATATTTTACTTTAACACCTGTATACTATTGATGGCCACTGTATGAGAACTTACCATTGAGCCAGTCTCTGAACATGTTGAGCCAAAAATCTGGCAGGCCTCCATCATCATTCTTGATAACAGCAGGTATTCTCATGTATGCATCATGGTATTCAAAGAGCATCTTCTGATTTGTAGGGTATTCAAAATCTCCCATTGTAACAGCATGCATTGAATAAAAACCAAAGTATCGTCCTTGAGCTGACAAGAATGCGTGCTCATCGGTGTTTTGTGGCACAATGTCAGTAAGCTCTAAGCCATCTGTAACTTTCATGGCTCCCCACAAACTTCCAGCCAGTACAATGCAGAAGCCTATCATACCAAATGCTTTGATTGAGGGACGAGTCACAAAAGGAGCAAAATATTTTGAAGCAACCATTGTGAGTGAAAATGACCAGCAGTCTTGTGGCTGGCAATCTTGTGCTTGCAAACTGTCAGTTTCACCCTTCTCAACATCGTTGTTTTCTTGGGAACCAACCCAACACTCCTGAGGAAAATTTGATCAAAATTAGTAACATGAATTAATATGTAATTCATAATTTATGATGTATCAGTTTGATGAGAAATTATTATCCACATACCTGTTGAGATGCAGACTTTAAAACGTCAGCAGTTGCTCCATGTTGAGAGCGGCCTGCAGGTAAGGCACGAGGGATTGCTTGCAGCTTGCGAGGTTGATTGGGGGCAAGCCTGGTATGGTGATAGTGAGGCCTTGGAGGGACAGTTACAGCGAAGCAAGGCCAGAGGTTTTCCTCGTCCTCATCATTTGGTGATGGCATGGCACAGCACAACAAATCAGCTCTTCTAGATGCTCTCCTGCGTAAATCTAAGCTAACAATGGCTGGGAACACAAGCAGCATGGCACCCAAGTTGAACAGCACCAGAACAGCAGCTTGCAGTGAGAAGACCCTCAGTGCAGGAATTGGGATGATAGCGGCAGCAAACAAAGCACACATTATGCTCAGTGATGTCAGTAGAACACTGAGTCCGGTGCGCTTCAGAACAGTACCAGTCCTCTCCTAAAATA